GGGGGGGGGGGGGGGGGGGGGGGGGGAAATGGGAGAATTTTCGGCGTATATACGATCGCCTGTGTTCGCTTGTGCGGGAGGGGGATGACGAAAAAAAGCGATGTTGACTGAACGTAGAAGTCCGTCTCGAAAAAAAAAAAACAAAGCAAGCGCCTGGCGTGTCTGGGGAAGGGGTGGTGGGGTTGGTTGGCTGGCTGGTGAACGGGGGCGATAACGATAAACCGATGTGTGGGGGGAGCAATCGACGCTGGATAACGACTGGCAACGACGACAAGTGCGTTGGAGCTGTTGTCCGGGGGCTGGTGTGTTGGAAGATGGGTGATGGTGAGTGGTGAGCAGCAAGTTGTGAGCGTGGTGAAGGAAGCGAAACGAAATCAAGATCGTGGCGGAGGCCATGAGGGGGCTCTCCATGCGTGCAACTGGGCTGGGTGTAGCCGGGGGTAGTAGGGGGAGAGCATTCGCTACGGACAAACCAAGGACGCAACAAAGAAAATCCAGCTCGGAGGAGGGTGAAGTGAACTGAAAGCGAGTGAACTGAAAATTCATCGTCATCGTCGTCGGAAAGTGCGGGCTCTCTCATTGAGAACGAAGTTCTCCCGCGTTTTCGTTCGCGGAATGCGCCAAGCGTGGCGGCAGCATCGCGTCGATTCTAACGATTTTTCTCCGTGGCCTTCTCCTTCCTCCGACGAGGAAAGCGACGGCAAGTAAGTGTATGTGTGTACGTACGTATGTATGTGTATGTGTGTGTGTGTGTGTGTGTGTGTATGCGGGTGCGCGAGCAGCGAGAGAAAACACGAAGCGGTGGAGAACTGACACACAATGACGGTCTCTCGTCGATACTTTTTGCACGAGTGCTCGCCGTGTCGTTCTATCGTCGTTGTCGATCGAGAATCGCATCGTTCGCATTTAGTATCTGTCGCGCGTTGCCTGTCAATTGTATCATCGTTCGTGGCGCACCGACCCACCCCGCACAGAGACGATGCTCTCTAACGCCCCATGGCCTACGCATCTGATCTGTGGTTGCATTGAGTCTCGGCTTGAGACTTTCGTCGGAGGCTTCCGATCGTGTCGCTCTCGTCTCGAGTGAGATCACGCTCCTTTGCGAATCGCGATTTCACCAGCGAGATCGCGAAAACTCCCGCCGAATTGAATTGAAGCGAGTCTCCGAGAGACAGAGAAAGAGAGAGAGCGAGAGAGATAGAGAGAAAGAGAGCGAGAGAATGATTTACGACTTGGAGTTCGACTTCAGACACCCAGAAATATTCCGACTTTTTTCTCCTTTTTTTTTTTTTCGCGACGACGATTCGTCGAACCGCCGTTTTGCGGAAACAAACTCGTCTCATGTGGTGAGAGAGTCGTGCGTGTCGTCTTCTTTCTTTCACCTCGACCACGATGGAAACCTTCGCCATGGCGAGCTCGCGGAAAAGAAAAAATACGAAACACGGACGAATTCACAGGACTTACCGGTGATGTTGTCGCACAGTATCCGCGATGTGATGATTCTGCCGTAAGGACTGAAGAGATTCTCCAGATCCTGCTGCGCCATGTTCTTCGGCAAGCCGCTTACATAGAGATTCGCGCCCTTGATCGCCTCGCTGCTCGGTCTCGCGTACGATACCTGAAAGCAGCGAAACAAAACGGGACCCGGTGAAACACAGAGCGACACACAGGTCTCGTGGTGTAACTTCAGTCGCATCGATCGGATCGCGCCAAATCGAGAAAACGAGGCCAGATAAATATCACCAATCTGTCTCGCGCGCGCGCGCACACACACACACACACACACACACACACTCGTCGTCACAGGGAAAGTTAGCAACAAAAAAGACAAGAAAAAGAGGAAACATGAGAGGCACGCCCACCCCCGTGTGCGCGATAATCGTCGCTTCATTCTCGCCCGCGCGATAAAATCCGCCCGAATCCAGGCCAGCCTATTTATATTGCTGCATTGCCGTGTTACACGCTCGCGTAGATGCATTTAGCATTCCAGAAATCGAACTGCGCGCCTTACAATGTAGTCGCCTGCTCGGCGGAAATAGACTATCGGTCGTCCCAATATCGACGGCTAAAACTGTCGTCGTGGTTCTGATCCTGTCAGTACACGGAGAGAATATCAGTTTGTCTTTCCTCCTCGCATAAATTCTTTTCAATTTCACTGTGCTTTTAGTACGTTGAGAAAAGAGTACGTGAGAATTTATTTGTGGAATATGAAGTTCATTTTCGTCGACAAACTTTGTATCCCACGAATAAATTTTCAGATATTTTTTGTTCTCGGTGAGGTAAGGTCAGTAAGGTACATCTTACTGAACAAATTTTTCAATGGCACACGAAAAAAACGGTATAACTGGCCCGGACGTAAGTCTGGTTATGCCAACCAGAGATATTCGATATTGAATCTAGTTGGCACAGTCAGATTCGTGTGTTGGCAACCATGTTGTTTCTTCCGTGCACATTTCAATTCCTAAAATACAACTAGCACATGCGAAAGGATCATAATAAATTACTGCAGAATGTCGATCCTCGGTCGCAAGATTCTACAGTAATGTTTGCTGCAAAATTCTCTCCGTGTAACATCTATATATCATAAACTGATAAGAAAAAAATCAACTGAGAATCCTCAATATCTAAAATTACTGAGTCCGATAAATTTGTCAAGAAACTCGCGCGAGATTTCACGAGGGGTGACACCGAGCGAAGACATGTTCTGGAAAGGGTTGGCGCTAAACGCAAACTACTGACCTTGATCGTCTTGTTCTGTAGACGGAGACCATTGAGCGTGCTTATAGCCTTTTCGGCATCTTCAGGCCGGTGATAGTTGACGAAACCATAACCCAAACTTTGACCTGCAAACAGAACGTCCCGATGAATATCGTCTCGCCGTTTATCGACGATGAACGGGTTGCAGGCTTTCGGCGCTTCGAAAGCATTCTCCACTCTCGTGACTCCTTCGAGTGAAATTCTCTAGTCTGAATCGAGTGGATATTGTCATTCTCGAAATCGAAGAGTGAATCGGACCGTACTCTGATTGTAATAAGGACAAATTCTCTCCGATCAATTCAGACCGTGCGGATTGAGAAAATCCGCTTTTGCTTCCGATTAAGCGTTTCCTCCAACGCCATCAAACGAGCTTCGAGGTAGCAGCAGTTCGCGCCTGTGTCCTATTGACCAGCATTGGGGAAGTAGTGGATGCGTAATGCCAACTTTAATTTCCCCGATACGCGCCGGAATCAATTTTATGAATGGCGGTGGTAGCAAATATATCAACGAGCTACTTGGCGAAATGCCTAAAGCACCGGAACTACCGGCAGAATGTACGCGCCGCGAGTATTTTTCGCCTCCGTCGAGAAGATAACATCGCTCTCTCTCTCTCTCTTTCGTGCCGAGTGGTGTCTCGGCACCACCAAAATAGCCGAATCACACAACTTTTTGGCACATCGCGCCGAGAAAAAATTGCTCGAAAATTTATTCGTGGGGCGTAAGGTTTATTCGCAGAAATGGGGCTTACTTCGCGAGAATGAACTCTACATCCCGCAAATAAATTTTAATAAAAGTGTTTCTCCCCTCAGCCTAATCAATCCTCACGTTTTTCATACCAGTGGAAAAGATTACGCGCGTGACTCTTCAAAAAATATTAAGGGGCCAATGAAAGCCAAACGTAAGACCTAGCGTGTAAAAAAAATAAATAATTTTTAGGTGAAAAGTCAGTTAGAACAAACGTTTATCACTAGATAAAAAATTATTTATTTTACGCTCTTATTCGACCTTTAATATCTTTTTTACGCTCTTATTCGACTTTTAATATCTTTTCATTTTTAATCTCAAAGCCTTTCGATTTTACTGCACTTCGCTGCATTCGATAAACTTAAAGATTTTTTTGGATCGGTGCACCCGCCGTTGAGAGAAACCGGGGAGATAAATGGCGAAGGTTAGGAAAAAAAAAAAGAAAAACAAAAGGAAAAATTCGCAGAAGCGGAGAACGCGCGACTCTCTTCGGCGGAAGAAGAATTCTCCCTGAACATGACGGACGACACGTTTATCACAAGATGATACGCCAGGCCACGTGATACGGTACTGTGATTCCGCCGTGAGGTCGAGCATAAAGCGGCAAATCTTCAATCCAAACGCCGCCCCCGCTCTCTTCGCGCTCGAAATAGCGCCGCAACGTCTATACACGTACTCGCCGCCACTGCACGGAACGTATACCCGGCGCACACGGACGTATACGCGGCCACCACCGAATTACGCTAAATTATGCACACACGGATTACGGGCGCGCGCGGACAGGTCGCGCGAAATGTTTCATCAGCGGGAGATTTGTAGGTCTCGCTTACGCGCTCGCACAAACGGAGAAATGTGCATACCGCGCACACTCGGGTAAATGTTATACACTTGCTTCCACGCACTGAGAGAAAAAAATAATTGGAATAACTATAATCTCACTATATATTTTATAGTTCGTTTTGGTCTCAAACATATATTTATAGTTCATCTAAACACGAAGATATAGCAGAATGAACACACATTTATAGTCACCATCTTATTATTCTATATGTATAGTAAAACACGCTTTGGGAATATAGTTACATGTAATATTTTCCAAATATTCCAATTGTATTGACTATATAAAATAGTTCGATATAAAATATTTCTCTTACCATTTAATATTTGCTACCTTACTATGTTTTTTATTTCAAATAATTATAATTCTTGGTAAAAGTTTTACATGAGTCAGTTATACTATGCTTATATTGTAAATATTACAAACATTATGGTGACATTTAGTATAAAAAAGATATTCCTAACTATAATCTTTTTACTATGCCATTATAGTTCCAAATATCATACATTTTTCTCTCAGTGCGGGTTCGTGTACTCGCAGATCTATCACAAACTTATCGTAAGTGTCAAATCTGTGCAAAGTCACATCCTGACTTCTAGCAGTTTTAGTATTTCGAGAATATGAAATTACGACCGAAAATTCGGTTTGCCCTCTACACTCCAAATTTCTTGGAGCTCAAGAATTTCTTCACTTCCTTCCAAAGTAGAGAAAATTGCGCCAGTGGAAGTTAGAGTGAGAGTTTCACTCCAAACGAGTGAAAACTCATCCCAAGCGAGCAATTTTTTCACTCGTTTGGAATGAGTTCTCGCTCTAACTTCGACTGGCGCAATTTTCGCTACTTTGGAGTGAAGTTGCGCTCCAAAAAATTTAGAGTGTAACCGCGTTAAACCAACTTTGATAAAGTTTTACAGTACTCTTGTAAAGAAAATACATTTTTCCTCTGAGTACACGATAATGAGCTTCCCTCAAATTTGCGACGGATATACTTTGAGATTGTCATCAAGAAAATATTCTTCATTGAAGATAATCGAAAGTTGAAGAAACTTGTTGAAGATAACTTAAGAAAAGAAAAAGTGAACTGAATAATTGCTTTTTCTTGCCAGCAGAATAATATTTTTCTCTATTCTATAAAAAGAATCGAGTTGTCCGAGCTTTCTGTGACAATGTAACATTTCATGAAATTCTCCCTCCATGTGATATGTGCCGTGATATACCGTTAATTTAAACAGTATCTATTCCGTTGTATTACACAAAAGAAATTAGCGATTTCAGCTTAACAAATTTCAGCTTAGAAAATATGATAGTTGACAACCGAACGTGCTAGAAGCCAGGAAACTTGAAAAAAGGCGAACCTGTCAGCTCTCAAGCAGTATTCATACATATCATAGGTTTCAAGTGGTGAAGCTTGCAACGCTCTCATATCATTCCGCGACTGCGCATATTGCAATATATTCAACAATCTTGAGTAATCTATTGTAATAATTTTTTCTAGTTAAGCAAATCTTGCTAATATCCAATTACCAAAGAACTTAGTTCAATGTATTTATTGTCTGATTTACTTCCATCCAGAAAATGGAATTACTCATATTATACAATTAGATCGATCTTTTCTGTTAGTTGAAAGAATAGTGTCTATATAACTAGTATATATTTGTAACTATATAACTGTCTATATTTGTAATCTAATACTTTAGTTTCCATGAATCTTTTGACTAAATTTTTTCACTGAAATTCCTGCATTCAAGTTGTCGAACAGGCTTAATTTGTATTCAATCTGACTTGATTGATGCGACCAAATTTGCACAACTCAGAGACTTGGTTCGATTCACCTGATCTTTTTCATTTTCAGTGTGTGCAAGTATCCTTATGTAGGGAAAAAAAGAATAAACTTATTTGATCCCGGAGAATCGCTAGAGCCTTATCAGTCGATCGTCCAGCTGTTCCAACAATCGCCACGAAACACTGACTTTTTCATTGTCCGCGTTTGTTTCCCCTAATCTTATCTTTCGATTTTCAGCAATGTCCATTCGATCGGACTGAACTATTTTAGCCGCTCATGCGGAACTTACCGCCGCTCTCGTGATGCTTACCGCTGAGCTTATCACGAATTAACTTGCAGCTCTCGACTTCGCCTATGCTGGAGAACAGAGAGCGAATCTCATCCTGCGTCATGCTCTGCGGCAAGTAGTTTACAATGAGATTCGTCTTCGACTCCTCCTGCGAGGTCTGTCCGAGGGTAGATCCTCCGTTTTGTTGTACGACTGTGTCCATTCCGTTCGCCATCATTGCAATCCTCTAACGAGTCGTATCTAACTATGTACGAAATCTGCAAGCAAAACACAACGCGCCGGATATTAGACCATCCGTGATCGTCATGGCAACGGCATTATAGCTATCGTCCTTATTACGTAATAGCAACGCTAACATCTCAACTCCTCTCCTCTCCTGATTCTCGACAATTCAGCATTTCGCCAAATTATCCGCAATCTCAACCGCCTTTCCACAATTTTTCCGAAAAATCGCCGCCACGAACTCGCTCGTGTCCTCATGAGAACGTTAAAGAGACTCACAGGGAATCCCGTTTGGAAAGCGGGCGAACAGCGAATACACCGAACAAGCTCGGAAGGAACTTCAGACGCGGCACACGGATATAAATATTTCGGTGTAAACACCGAAATATCGAAGGACGTAAAAACACGTAATAAGCAAACAACGATGCACAACAAGTCCCACAAGACGCTTACAGCTCAGGTTCAAGCGGCCTCGTGTTTTTCTGCAGTCTATTTAGCGCGAACGCGAGACGCAAGAACGACGGCCGTAAGAAGCGCTTTTACCGTATAAAGCAAAATTTACGAATACCAGTCACTGTGGCTTTTACACGACAACGATGATGGGCCAAGCGCTAAACAATGTTTCGTTTTTTTTCTCTTTACCGCGAGCGATAGTTGATGTCACTTTTCCCTGAAGCACGATTCGCGGGTGCCTCGAGAGAAAACGTCGAGACGCCGTTTGCAAATTTATCTATCTCTCTCTCTCGCAATTCTTCTCAGACAATAATTGATCGAGTAATAAGAAAAGCGTCGATATAAAATGGCGGGTTGAACGGTGGAAAAATAGAGGTTAAGTTTAGAAAAGTGTACTCGAGACTCGTCGTTGAGAGTTATATTCCACTTGACGACACGAAAGATTGGAATACAAACAAACTCGATTTTGTATGGAAGATTCGACCGAAAGGGCAGGCGATTTTAAAAGGACCGATGTCCTTTAAAGAGCCGGAAAAATGGGAAGTCCAGACTAAGAGGTGTTCTTGTTTACTTACGGCTTTAAAAGGTGAAAAGAAAATCAGAGATTTAGATGAATCGATAACGAATGGCACGAAGACACCGAGTTTTCTGCCGACAACAAACCTTTGTTCACTCACGCGGTGGACGAAAGCAGGAAACACCTCCTGCTGCCGTGAATAAATTATGAATTCGTGTAGCAGCCGGCCAGGGAGCCATTATCGTTCAGGGAACGGGGTAATTAATTCGGAATCATATCCACCGCTAAAACCGCGTTGTTACAAGTAGTTAACGAGAAAGCATCAGGCGACGAGGAAATTTCGGGGCAACCTCTGCTCTAAGCTAAATCCAAGTGCACATCAAAAAGTCCATAATTTTCCGCTTCCCGGAGAGACCGAGCATTCTACTGGGAACTTCCTGGGAGGGAAATTCGAGGGCAAACTGTGCGAGCAACAAAGTTGGCCCGAATCGTCCACACGAGCCAACCCCGGGCCAATGTTCCGTACACACTCACCGACGACTGTCGGTTTGGTGAGTGTCGTTGCGCAGGCATAATCGTATCGTAAAATAGCTGCGCGCGAGATCGACAATCGTACGTGTGTATGTCGGCTTAGGCAGAACGAAAAGTCACGATGACGTGAAAATGATGTCGAAGTGACGAGAAGAGACTCACTTTTCGATCACGATCCCGTCATTTTCTCGTCACTTCAACGTCATCGTGATTTTCTGCTCCACTTGGGTATATTCGGAGAGACCCGGCAACTCTTTCGCGCGTGACACCCGATACATATGCGCGCGTGCTCGAGCGTGAAGGAAGAAAAAAGAACGAAAGAGGGAGAGACAGAGCGAGGTAGGGGAATTACGTGGTGGCTACTATAGGGTGTTACGGTGTTCATGGCACCGTTAAGGCGAGCACGCGCACGCACATGACGCGCGTACACACAAACGCACGCACGCACGTACGCGCGCGCGCGCGCGCACACACACATGCAACCGCCACAACACATTTATCAGACGGCACGAGCCACCGGCGTATATTTTAATTCTCTTTTTCGCCCCCTTCGCGGTGTCTCTGTCTCCCTTTTTACCCCGCTCCGCCTCGCTCCCGCCGTCCTTCCGACGTAGGCATCAGCTGTCCTTTAGGGCCTCCTCTCCTCACCGTTCCCTTCGCCCTGGCACAGCCAGTTCTGTGACCCGCGGTGGTTGCCACCCCTAAACGAGCTGTCCACAGTGCCCGGGATAACAGATAGCTTTTGTTACGCGCGCAGAGTGTGGCTAGCCTCTTGAATATCCGAGATGGACTGGAATATGTTCCGTCGTTACTTGAAAATACGAGGCACCACCGCAGGTGCGAAATGTCCTCGGGCTTTCTCCCGTTTAGGGCCAATATACCTATTGTCAGACTTTGCGCTGTTGACTGAGAAGTAGGTCATATAGAATTTCCGGGAACTGTCTTCGGGGAGTATCTTTGGAACGCGCAAAAGGCTCTACCTGGACAGTCGATTCTGACACATCACGGGTAACTTGAGATATTGTTATTATTATTATTAGGAGAGATCGCAGACGTTGTCGATCTCGTTGCCTCGAAAAACGAGTCGCTTTGGAGACACAGAATCAAATAATTGTCCGATGATGAATGTCGAAATTAATTGACGGTGAAAGGTAGTGGATCACGCGATGACGACATCTTTGTTTAAACACATTATTTTGTGGTTATCAATGAAAGAAACATGGCTGAAAACTTTCGCATTTTTTAATGCAACAGTTGAGATAAAAGTATCAGTACCTGGACATGTGTACCCAATTCTGCATAAGAAAGAAAGAGTCTGGTTAGATGAAGCAAATTTCTGATGAAATATGGACGAGCCAGAATTCTGCTCGAGTTAACAAAATTTTTGGTTAACTTGAAGAGAATCCTGATAACGTTAATTGAAACATTCGTTCATATTCCACCAGAAATTAGTTAATCTGGTTAAATTCTTTTTTTCCGTGTAGACAGATTTTGATCCTTGAATAAAAACATTTCATAAAAACATTGAATACTAAACATAAAAACTTTCAACGTAGTATATACATATATATTTAATATATATCTGTATATTTTCTCTCCCTCTTGAAAATTTAAATACTCGTATTTAAAGACCAAAGTAAACAAGAATGTCCAAAGTTAGGTATCTGTTCCACATTTACGCCAACTTTACTTTTTAGGTGGAAGTCTGCTTCCTCAGTCGCGGCTTTCGATTGAGTATCGGCTGAGGCGTGCGCGATGAAACGAATATAATTCCCGAAATTCTGGAAACCGCGACCTTTGAGTCGCCGGCCGCAAGTCACACGCGAACGGACTTACTCGCCGGTGGAAATTCGCGGAAGAAGGTGCGACAATTCGAGCGCACCTGCGCGCGAAAATCGCGCGCGTATCTTCACTTCGCGGCTAAGTGGAGCAAACTCCGAGTCTAGAGTGTGAGGAAAGCGACAAAGTCACGAGACTAGAGTAGAATTGTTTGACAGTGACGTGGTTCTCTCGCACGTTACACGGAAAGGAAACAGCATAACGTGGCCCGCGGAACAGAGCGCAGGCCAAGCATGCTCGCGTCCCCTTTGTTTACGCACGTAAGCGATAAAAACGTCGCTCGCAGAGGCAGAAAAGTCGCGGTGCGCTTATCGCAAGCCGGCATCTTCCTCGCTATCGATCCGCGCGCGCTCGACGCTCGCCATCGCGATATATTTTCGGACCCGACAATGGTACGACGGGTGAAGCGGCCGGATTCCATTGTCGCATCGGAGAAGTATCTCTCACTCCCTCGTCTCTCTCTCTTTCTCTCTCTCTCTCTGCGCTGACTTCTCGACACATCGGCCGTCATTACCGGATGACAATGGACGCGACCACGCACGCGTGTGCGTGTGTGTATGCGACACATACGTACACGTACGCACAAGCCAGGGGCAAACTCTCCCGGACGCGATCCACAATGGAGTCTCGAATATAACGCGACGATGCGCACCCTTATCGGAGGGCTATAGCAACGAGAGATTAATAATTCTGCTAACTAAGCGGCGGAGGGAACCTTATAATTTTCAAAGGCAAAGGTTTCCACGATTTCTTCTGCTTTCTTTTTCTCTTTCAAATCGCGCTTTGTTGAGGAAGAATTATGATGCTCGAGGGTGAGTCGAGGAGAGAAATTCGGGAGAACCTTGTCGATCGATCAAACGAGACAGCGTCGCGTTTGCGAAGCTCGAGAAGCAAGTCCGCGATTTGCCCCGGCAGACCGACATATGCAAACTTCACGGCGACTTTGAGTACGTAAAATCATGAAATTCGCTGATCAGACCGCAGTCACAATTGTCACACGGAATAACAGAGTAGAAATACGAAAAGAGCACGAAAAACGTGTGATTTTGTCCCCGAACATTGTCATGGTAAGTATAACATAAAAAACCGAATGTAACTCTTATCAATTCAACGGGAAATTCACATTATTGTACGATGTAGGTTCAATAATTAATTCAATACGGTATATTCACTCGAGAAATGCAATTGAAAGCATTACAGGGTCGCCATTATCGATTATCCCACACCGTGATCAATCACGAGGGACTACCTGGGGTTACTTCTTTCTCACGCCGAATCGCAAGCGAGACTTGTAAGGACCGGGACCGCGCACACCATCGTACGAATGCAAATGACGATTACGTCACTCTCTGTGCGCGAGTAGTGTAAATATAAATAATGTTGCGCGGCATACTGCGAGACTGTGAGTACGGCGGAAAAATAGATGACCGGCGAGTTATTTCGAAACGGCAGAGAGCCGGACTATCGATCTGGCGAAATCGATACAACGGAAATACCACTTTATTCTGGTAAATGCTATACGTTGCTTCAATTTAGCGACGCGTCTCTCTCTCTCTCTCTCTCTCTCTCTCTCTCTCTCTCTCTGCCGCACGGCCGATCACGGCGACGACGGACCGCTAATCCGCGGAGATCACATCACATTCGAGCCTATCTGCCGCCATCCGACATTTACCCGCGTCCAAAATTCGATTGCGT